GTATATGTAAATGTTCAAAAGATGGCGCTATATATTATATGTATGGAAGTACATCATATGTTTGAATTGTAATGTTTAAGTATATAAAATTAATAAAAGAAAAAGAATAGATCCCACAAAGTAATTTTGGTTTTAAAAAATATTTTGAAAAATGTAAAAGGAAATAATTTTCCGTAGTTATTTGAAATCAGGTAATTAATTTAATTAATTTGTTGTAATATGTATTTATCATGGCGTTGTTAAGATTTTAAAAGTCACCACGGTTAAGACAATTTGAATGAATTATACACAATTTAATGTATATTTTTTTGTATAGACAGATAAAATTAAATATTTAATTCCACACTTTGCAGATCAACGCCATCTATCGTGTATTTAAGCAAACAAAATAGCTGAAAGAATAGCCTGAACTAGAGCCGCTATTGTCTCGTCTGTGCTATTTTCATTTTCCTATATAGAAAATGTTTTTTATTTGCTATTGGTAACTCACTAATGCTTAATTTAACTTAATTAAACAACAATTCAATTTTTTTACTAAAAAATATATTGAAGTTGAACGTATTAAATGGAGTATCAAAATAAATACATATATGTATGTATATGTATTTATACTAAGCCAATGCTTTCAAAATAGCTTTACTGAGCTCATAAAATCCACGTTACTTTGAAGCATCTAAAATTTAATATTTTTTCTCACATTCTCTGTACTTTTGCACTCCTTTTCATTTGGTTCATGACATCAATACTTAAAGGACCCAATATGCAACTGTCCTTAACGGTAGAAACAACTTACAAAATATATCAGAAAATATCTCAAAAGTAGTTCAACGTTGCCCGAGCTGACTGATTCTTATATTCTACTAGCGACTCACCCTCGCTTCGCTCGGGTTCGTTCCTGGCTTGCTTTCCAATACAAACTTTTATCCCCATTTTCACCCCCGTAAGGGCTGATTTCTGGAGTACAAAGTATCCTATGTCCTTTCCAGGATCTCAAACTATCTTCTTACCAAATTTCACCAAAATCGGTTCTGTAGATCCAGAGATTACCCCTTAAAACGTCACAAACAAACTCACAAAGTCACAACCTCACAAACTCACAAAATTTACCTCTTTATAATATTAGTATAAATGATTCATCGTAAAACGAAAAGATTTCTGTTGATTATGTTTGAAAAAATCCATGGGAAATCTTAATTTATTTTTTGTAAAAATTATTCAAAATAATTCAAAACAAATCTGGTATAGACCACATTTTATTTTAATTTGCTTTCCTTATTCAAATTAAAGACGGGGTCTTAATAGCCACTTGAAGTAAGTGAGGCAACTTGCCTAATAGCTCTTGAGTCTCTCGCAATTTCGACATGTTTATTTTGAGTTCTAAGGGCTATGATATTTTTATTCTTGTTTAAATTAAATTTTATGGTAGACTCGATCAAAAAAGTGGAGCAGAAATATGAAATTTTAATTTAATTTATTTTAATAAATTTCCCTTCTTTGACATCCTATAGTTGTTAACTATGAAGATATTACTTTCTTAGATTTACGCGAATATTTGGTATCCGTATTAATATTATAAATGTGAAAGTTTGTTACGGCTGAACGGATCTGGATGAAATTTGGCACAGAGATAGATTATAGTCTGGAATAACACATAGGCAGTAGACTACATTTTTTCCAGGATAAAAAGTATTTTATCCTGGAATAAATGTACGGTTCTCGTGGGATAGATTTGTTTTTATTTTCGCTAGTTTTAAATAAAACTATCTTTTCAGATTATTTCGCATATAATACGAAGATTTAAAATTTTTAATTATTTTAAGATTGCTACATTGGATTAAAACACTTTATTTATGTATAATAATTAAAGCATTTGGTGACATTCAAGCCTTTATATATAAAGTCCCATGGCACGGACGAGTGTAAGAGAGATCGGGAACAGGCCTTGGCCCACTATATTCGCTAAGTGCGGGTTGGTAGTTGTCTCAGACATGCAGGTATTTCACTTGACGTTTTCCTTAACCATTAGGCAAGTGGTAGATAATTATGTTTCAATGATTTGCACATAATAATATTATAGTTCTTACGTGGGACTCACCGGTTAGAGAAGCCAGTACTACCCACTAAAACAAAACGGAGCCTTTTTTTTTTTTTAATGTTGGGAAATGCATTTACGCACGACGTGTGGGACTCACCGGCGTAATACAGCCAGTACTACCCACTAAAACCCAACAAAACCACCCCCGTCTTAATGGGGCGTCGCAGGATCGCTTACGCATTCAACTACGACGCCCCGACGGCAGGTTTGCCGAAGCAGACCACCACAACCATGGGGTTGCTCCACAGTCCACTCTGCTATCAGAGAAGTACCAGGAGCAACCCGCATGGTACACCGCCCCCCGAAGAGGGCCACCTCCCACCGCCCAGCGAAGTGGGCAACCTCCCTGTGCGTTTCTTAGCTTCGCGCCCGGTTGGATTGCCGGGCACTACTGAACCCCCCCACCACGACAAGGTGAACGCACGTTGGGGGGGAAAACAAAACGGAGCCTCCCCCGTCTTCATGGGGCGTTGCAGGATCGCTTACGCACTCAACCACGACGCCCCGACAGCAGGTCTACCTGAGCATACCACACAACCAAGGGGTAGCTCCCACAGTCTTATCTGCTATCAGAGAAGTACTTGTAGAAACCCATATGGCACAACACCCACCGAGATGAGCCGCCTCTTAGTACGTTCCTACTCCCCCACCACGACCACTGTCTGCCTTGGTAAACTCAGCTTTAACAAAATTCAATTTTTAACAAAATTAATGTATAATGTAAAGAGCAAACTAAATATTATTTTCTAGATTTCGTGTTGAAAATTAAAGTGTTGTGCATCGCGTGACAAGTGTTGAATGCTATAATGTGCTTTTAACATTATAGTATATTTTGTTATTATTTTTATACTCTTCTATTTGATTAACGAGTAATTGTTTAAAGTCGGTTAATGAAATACTAGCATTTACTTGCGCCTTCGTCTGTGTGGTAAGTCATATGTAAGGGCTCTTTTCCCAGGGTTTGCAACATCATGTTAGATAGCTATTTCGCAGTTTAAGAGATTATCGAGAGTTAAAGTAATTATTTGTCAACAACCTAGAATTGTGAGCTATGATCATAATAGATTCAAAAATTGATTGTTGTTATTAAAAATTCGATGAAACTTAGGTTCTGATCGAAATAAGTTTAGAAAAGATAATATTGTACATTCGCCATAGCTGGTAGAAAACTAAAGAATACTACTAACCAAGTGACACGTGGTAAGAAAATGTCGCCCTTAGCTTTTCCTTTGAATTTACATTGATTGGTTGTAGAAATATACTTATTTTTGGGTCCCCGATAATTAAATATGCAGTAGAAAATCGTCTAGTAAAAAATTGTTAACCTACCTTCTATTATGTAGAAACCAGGGTTTTTTTACTATTATTACATACATTATATTCTATTATACGCACGTATTGAATAAAAAATATTTAAATAGCTTTGGTGCTATACATACACAAACAAACAAAAATTCAATACATTTACATATAACATTTTTATTTCTTGTGTATGAATCATTCAAATATTACATTTTTACTTAATGAAAAACAAATTTGGTATTGTCTTTAAATACTCAGCTTGTAACACTAATTGATTTGATATTGGATTGTTAATTTTATTAGCTATCAACTTCATTCATCTTTTAATCGATATTAGGCGTTGCCATTTTTATTACTTCTATGAACCAATTAGTATTATAAAAGTTTCCATTTCAAAAATTGCTCTATTGAAAGGCTTCCAATTAATTTTTCATAAACGTACAAGAAAAAATGTGTGTAGGTACCTACTTAATTGTTTTAATAAATATGTTTTTATCAATTTCACTCGTAGCTATAAATCTATCTAATAAGTCTATGGAAAATCTATGTCTATACTGTAGAAGTCGTTTTCAACATTATCCGTTTTGAGCCGTATAACAAACAGTTGGTGAGAGTAAAATTTTAACGATGCGCACGCAAACCGACAGCCAAAAAGCGACATGGTTAAGTTAGCTACATTCCTTTTACAAAGAGAGTTGTGACATACGGAATGAAATCTTTAGCTACATATTTTTGTTCTGTAAGTATAACAACTGGCGCCAACAACCCGTATAACAAACAAACGTATTTTTAAACATTTTGGTGCAAAGAAATTATAGGTTAAATTTTTTTTATTTTTCTCTTTATATTTAAAATTGAAATAATAATAATAAAATTTAAAGAATTATGTACACAAAGCTGTAACCGTTGCACATAAGAATGTTGATTTAATTTAACAAGTAAAAAGAAGTGTTAGATAATGTGTAAAAATAGTAATTTTATAAAGCTAATAAATAAATATAAGAAAAATTTTAACATTTTGTACACAATTTCCTTTTCATACCAAAAACACATACTTACATGGTTATGGTATTGGTATATTCGCTAAAATATAAAAAATCTATGTGTCATTCTTAATTGCAATATTTAAATCATGTACTGGTTTTAAGCGGCGTGACTGAACCAAATGTAGGTCTCGAGTCAACGACCTAGGACACCTGTAATCAAAGCTATATGCACTTATGTTGGCCTCTGGCGTATTCTGTTACTATGCTATTAACGCTTATTTAAAAAAATCATTCGATATAGTGATGGGGTAAAATTAAATATTTTCGTTTTCCCCATTCAGTTGCATATTATGCATATTGTATAATATATAAAAAATAATTTATTTCAAACACTAAAAAAACACTTTTACAATTACCGCGACCACTCAACTCATTACAACTCATGCACAACTCACGTATCAACCAACCTGTATCGTCCATATTAAAATGAATCAAATGAGCTCAAACTCGGAAGTTACAAAAAGTATTTCTCTGTTAACCTTATGATTTCAACATAGAAAAGCTCGATCGTATTAAATTATAATTCAATTCAATTTTCTTGCTAATAACTTCGAAAAATGCCAGTTGGATACAAATATCACGTAGAATGGGGAATGCTATTGTATTGTCATCCGATACAAAGTAGATGTGAGAAATAGGTCAAAATTACAGTTTAATATTATTTTCAACCGACTTTTTAAATAAAACTACTATCTTTTCGGATTATTTCGCCGATTTATTTTGATTTTTGGTTCCCGACGTTTCGAATGCTTTACAGCAATCATGGAACGATCTATTACGAAAAGTATATAGCGCCTTAGAGATGTCTAAAGCCTTAGTTAGTCTCTCCCGTGACCATGATTGCTGTAAAGCATTCGAAACCTGATTAACCTGATAAATTTTAAATAAACAATTCTAAACAAAAAGCTAGATAATATTTATACAAACATATCAAAAGTACAAATTAAAGAAATTTCGTATTCATAGAAGTACCAGAAAAAATAATAAGAAAACATACCATTCACTCAGGAAAATTTACCTTCTCTCTGTTATTTTTGCGAATTTCATTATAAACCTACGGCTATAAATACGGCTTATAAAGTATACATTGGCGCACTGCTCGGCTGAGTTAAGCTCTCCCGAGGTTCGTCTTATACCTATATGAAAATTGTTAGTTAGATGTATGTAGGTGCAATAAAATTTTAAGCTACTTTTGTTTCTCATGTAGTTTACCCGTATATATGTTTGTATATTAATAAATGATTTGTTTATAACCGTTTTATGTGAGTGTAAGGGGAGATACTTTTATAATATACTAGCGACTTACCTTTGCTTCGCTCGGGTGCATCCCTAGGCTTGTACGGTAGAAACGCGTAAAAGACAAACGTCTAAAGAAAAATCTTTCTTTCGGCCAGGAACCTTTACAGGCGTATATAATATAACCCACCAGAGTTGCATCACAATCGGATCAATGGTTTAGGAACGCATAGGGAACAAACATACGAACATTCATTTCTATGTTGGTACTTAAAGTAAATTCCATTCTCTTTATCAAGAATTATGTTTTTGATAATTAAAATAAAACTGTAATTTTTTTATTAACATTGCTCCACTTGACCTAATTGAAAATCCAATTTCTTTGATTAAAATGAAATTTGAATAAGAACCTACCTCTTTAAAGTCAATGAAAAATATTTTATGAACAAATGTTACTTAGATACATATTGTTACAATTTCTCTAAGGTTATATACGTATGTTGAGAAATTGAGCTAGGTAACATTGCACTGCGGCGACGGGTTCCGCTGTGGGTTTTAGTGAGTAGGAGTCTCACAGTACCCTACCCATTGACGGCCGGTAGGGTCCCCATGATGGGTTTCCCCAGCGTCAACAAAAAAAAAAAGGTAACCTACCCTTAAATTACAGAGGATAAAAATCACGCATTTATATACATAATGTAGTTTAAGTCTTAGAAAATAGTGCTGGTCTTTTTTTTGTCAGTTAGCAAATGGTTCCCCCGGGATATAATGATGAAATCGATACCTGGAAGGAAAAAGATTGTAGCTCAGTATTGTAGCCATTTTGAATTTCAACTTTAATTACTAGTAATGTAAATGTGAAAGTTTGTATGTTTGTTAATCCTTCACGCCGAAACGGCAGGACAGATCAGACACATCCGAGGCTACACAGGCGAGGGAGACACATGTAATGGCTAGTAGATAGTGTGATATTCAGCCCTTTTTAACGTCCTACAGCTGGGCACACTCCTCCCTTCAATACGAGGGGGATCGGGCCAAAGTCCACCACGCTGGCCAAGTGCGGGTTGGCGGACTTCACATGTCTTTCGAAAACTTGCTAGCTTCCTAACGATGTTTTCCTTCACCGTAAGGCAAGTGGTAATCATGTTAAAAGTGATTCGCACGAAAAATATCAGAGGTGCGAGACCCGGGATTTGAAACCACTTCACTCGGTTTCCCAAGCGAGCACGTTACCACTGGGCTACCACTGCTGGGCTAATGTGATATAAATATTTTTAATCCTTTGTAACTTTGCAGGGGGTCGAGTGAGACACGCTTCCCCAGCGTTACGTGAGGCGTTGCGGTTATTACGAGACGCGTGGCCCGAGCCTCGGGCACTTACAGACCGCTGGTAAGTTATTTCTATAATATGATAATCCTACTAACTTTTATACACTTCTGTAACGAATTCTTCTGAATTTTCCTACTATTTGTGAAATAGAAGAAGAGAAGATTTAATAAACACGAAAATGTGCGCTTAAAAGTTTAATTTAACTAAATATTTTTATTTAAATAGCTACATAATTACTAGTAATGCTTACCATTGAGTTTTTAAATTAATTAAATTTTCATTAAAAATATTTTTATTTACAAAAATAAATTAAATTTTCGCTATTTCACATATTAGTATAATTAAAGTTAAAAGTAATCTCACTGAGACCAGCCAACTGCGTAGGAGATATTGTAGTGCACAAACGTTCGGACAGACACAAGAACACTCTTGGTGTAACACAACCAACTTCCCAACCCCGAGCTTTTGCTGAGAATTTTATAGCAGAAGGACTCAATATAAACTTGGCCCAACCCGGGATTCGAACCCAGGACCTCCGGATGTGCAGCCGTACATGCTAGCTACTAAGCTACTACACTACTTAGGTTTTAGGCAGTCACCTATACCTAATGCATAGTTCAATTAATACAAAAAAAAAGATTAATATCATATGATACTCTAAAACACACCTATTTTAAATCAGTCTAAAAATGAAAAAAAAAACCCTTTAATAAACTAATGAACTACAAATCAAATAAAACGCAAATCTCATAAGGACTTTTAATGCGACGACGTAAACAAACAGGACTTCTTATAAAAAGCGTAAAGCGTAACAAAGTGGCCAACCTCCTAACCGCAACAAAAGGTAACTATACCACAGACGAGACGGCGGTACGGTTTCATATATATAATATGAATATACTGCGCAGTACTGACATTAGTTTAAATTATAATTTATGAATGAACCGAATAAAGACATTAATTAATGAAAGTGACTATTAATCCAGTTACTGTATGCTTAATATACAAGTATTTGTCCAGCTACTTTTTTTTTTTGAATTAAACATTTAAAGCAACTGAATATAAGTATTTATAATTTTTTATTTGTCTTGGATAACGTAGGTTGAGAAGGATAAGGCGGGAACAAAGCGTTGCGTAGCTCCCGTCTTAGTTTTGTCGTTAGGTCATATGGTTGTAATCATATATATATATATATATATATATATATATATATATATATATATATATATATATATATATATATATATAATCATTAACCGGACTAATAAAAATAATATTAGTCATACAGTTAATAGTAATAGACATAATAGGGTCAGCCTTAATTAATTACTTTCTAGGTAAATCATTCCTTGAAATTGTTCAAATATGTTCTTTTTTCGGTAGTTGATAGTCAGAAGTTCATTGAAACTTGTACAAGAAAACTGGAAGAGTTGCAATACAAGACATCATATTATGTGGTCTTGAACTTAATCATTTTACCGATCTGTTTGACATCAAACATAAAAATAGTTTAAATGTTAAATAATAATTTGTTTTAGTATTAAATATTTTTAATTATTATTAATTGCTTTTTTTTTAATCACACTATACATACAATTATAAAAGTTTGTTTGTATGTTAATTCTTCAAACTAGAAAGTCTGGACAGATTTGAATGAAATTTAGTAAACTCTAGGGTGCCTAACAATAGCCTATACCTATGTTACTTCAGCTTATATGTATGGTCTATCTGTGTACAAAATTCCATCCAAATTCGTACAGCCTTTCCATGATTATGATCATGAACATGATCCATGATAGAGCAACAAACATACACACGTACATAATAATTTCTCATTTATAATATTAATCTGATAAACTAAACATTTTGTTACATAAAAAAGTCTATTTTTGAATAATAGAGTTAATTATAAAGATACTTATATTTTTATATTTATGAATGCAAAACATTCAAGTGCTCATGCACGAAGCACTTATAAACCCATACATTTGTATTACTTCCAGTTCTGTAATTAAACACTGGCTTGCAGCATAATGAGATTACTGCAACTATTTATATGATATTTATACAATACTAGCGTATTCGTTGTTACGTTTTAACGTTTAGTATAGGTTTCTCAGAGATAAGATATTTTCCAGCAGTAAAATGTATCCTATATGTTGACACGGACAACCAGCTATCATCATACCAAATTTCATCAAAATCTGTTCAGTGGTTTATCGTAAAGGTTTTCCAAGAAATATTTAAAGTACAGATCGAGTCAGTTAGAATTCTATTTTATGTATTAAATGATATACGTATGTTACGGAAATCAAATATAAATGAATATTTTTTAAGACAACTTAAGATTTTTCTATAGCTTAAAATTATTGAGCGCGATGAGGTTTTCCATCAGCAATACAATAATAATATCCTCCTAATCAATTTTGGCCACGTCAGTCAATTTTACTGAGATAAACAATACAAGAAAAAACAAACTGTGCAGTTAACGTGATGACAATTTAATACGTATAAGAAATCCGGTCGTGGGTTCGAAAACTTCAAGAGCTCTGCAAGACGTGGCAAGACACGGGGGATGTAACGTCAACAAACTTCCAACCCAATAACTATACTTTACCTGAACCAGGAATCAAACTAAGGACTTCCAGATCTGGAACTATGTACTAGTGTACATGCTAGCTACCAGACCACCCCGGTAGTTTTATCAATCATCGGCAATATAAACAGTTACCTACATAGTAATTCGTTAATATCTTGCATAATTAAGTTAATCGTGATGGTGAAGGTCCATTGACATTTGAACTTAATAAATTAGGTTTTTTTTAACATGAATCATATAAATTAAAAGTATTACTGAGACCGAGGGCACTCCGGTAACGAATAACTATAATACTCGTAGATAGTTAGAAAATGCGAAAGTTAAGATATATTGTACTAGCGTTTACCCGCTGTTCCCCACACGTTTTTCATTTATGTATTACTATGTATTTAAATTGTAGTTGTAGTTGTATTGTGTAAGTTATTCTAATGTATGAGCTATATTACTGTAAAGTTTCATCAAAATCTGTTTAGTGTTTTTGCTTTATAGAGTGACAAACATCCATCCATCTTCATAAATTATCGCATTTAAAATATAAGTGGGATCTATACTAATATAATATTATAAAGAGGTAAAGTTTGTGAGTTTGTGACGTTGTAGGGGGTAATCTCTGGATCTATTAAACCGATTTAGATGTAATTTGGTAAAAAGATAGTTTGAGACCCTGGAAAGGACATAGGATAATTTCTGTCCCGGAAATCATCCCTTAAGGGGGTGAAAATGGGGATGAAAGTTTGTATGGGGAATCAAACCCAAGCGAAGCGAGGGTGAGTAGCTAGTATATAATATACTTGTAAAAAAAAGAGAGTCGTTGAGTTGATATCATTAAATGTTATATATTTATTAGGTCTATTTTTCAGCGAAAGTACAATAACAACTTATGTAATCTCTAAGGTTCTAATATTGTATTGTTGAGAGCAAAGTAAGTTTGACTAAATTTGTTTAAAACACTATTTAACTATTGATCGTGTAACGTTACGCATGTGCTGCAGTTCGATCATCGACCCACTAAGAAGGTAAGTATATAATAAACGATGCGATGGGTATTGGTAAATTAATCTTAAGTACATTATAGTATGAGACAGTGGTGCCGCGGTCCGCTAACCCGCATTTGGTCAGCGTGATGGACTGTGGCCGGATCCCCCTTGTATTGAAGGGAGGCCCGTGCCCAGCAGTGGGATATTAAAAAGAGCTGAAATCTGAATACATACATTATAGTATAACTAATGTTCACTCAGTGGCCAGACTATAATCATTGAAAATTTATTGAAGACCTATTTGAATATAACTTACCTTTATATAAAAAAAACCTGTTTCCAAAATGTTTTTATTGAAAACTAAAGCTTTTCAATAGCAAGTTTCCAAAAAAAAAAAGGAAAATCCCTTGACAAATAAGAAGAAAAGGCACTGAACTGTTTTGTCTTTGCCTATTTATATATAGATATAGTAGGTATTATGAACTAAAAATTTTCAGAACGCTAAACTCTAGGCGAGTTCTAGTTGTAACGTAAAATATTTTTCTTTATGCTATAGAAACCCAGCGTAGGAATATTCTATTGTTTGCTATTGCCGGTAACATAATATTTATTATAAAAATATGCGAGTAAAAATAACATTTTCTGTAGAATCCCGGCCGTGATCTGATTCTGTTGATGCCTCGAGAGGTGGGGGGTGTCCCGTGTCGCCTTGCGAGAGATAGAGCACCGCTGTTAAATATAGATAATAGAAATAAGTTTTGAATAAATCAGGTTATGGGAGATAGTTAAGGTATATTTTAGTTTTTAGATTCTTTTGAAATATACGATGAATGATGAATATGAATGATTAAAAATTTATTTGTTCTATATGTGAAGGCTTTTATAAATTAGTTGTTAATATTGAAAGAAAATGAAAATAATTTATTATATAAATACGTAGGTACTCTACAGTGGGATGTCATAGTGTATCATTCAATAAATACATATAAAATACTAGCGATTTACCCTCGCTTGGGTGCGTCCCTAAGTTTGGTTTTCGGTTAAGAAAAACAGGAATGTATAAAAGACAAACGTCCAAAGAAAACTTCTGTTTTGGGGCCAGACGTTTGCAGGATTATCCACTAGAGTTTCATCATAATCGGGTTATCGGTTTAGGAACGTACAAAGGACAAACATACGAACATTTATTTTTATTTATATAAATAGATAAAGACGATACATTCAAAATTTCACTTCTGAGGGTAGAGTTAATACCTTAAAAATGATTATGAGGACGACGTACTTTTTTAGTTAAGTAGTAATTATTCAGGCTTAGATTTTTCTTTAAATTTTGTCTCTCCGTACTCTATACCCGAGATTACCACATTACACAATAAAGTCACCATTTAAAGTAATTTCAACGTAAACTTGCCTTTTGTGTCGCTTAGTAGAGCTCGTACTGCTTTTATTTACATAGTATTTGGCATAATGTCAAACGTTACAAT